TTTTTGCTAAACGAATTTTAAACATTGCAATCCGAGTTCCGTTTGAGAGAAACACTATGCTATCGGGTTCGTTTTTGATCCTTTCACTACGTTGTGGCGGCAATTTCTGTTTTCTGCCTGAGAAAATTATTTCCTTACGCAGTGCTCCTAATTGCTAGATACTGTATATCGTTAACAAGCAACTGCACAGAAAAAGTTTTCAGCGAACGTTTGATTATTGATGTTCTAGAAATCTAGAAATTAAGGGAATATATATTATTTTCTCTCTTTATATGTACATAATGTAACGCGCCAAAACAACAGAGACGAAATATTACACCATGATTTTACACCACGTATTACACCATGATGCAGAACCATAAGTTACGCCGCGTCCTGTCCAGTTCTCCCTCCTTTTTCGTCGGTGTTGTTTTGGCGTGTTACACCATGATGCAAAACCAACTAGGCAAACTAGCTGTCCTTATATGTACACGAATGAAAAAAAAAAAAGGATTACATGTAGGCAACAACAGTAATTCGGTAATTTACACAACCTGTAGACATTTTGCACAGTACTAGTGTACAGCGAGCGACCCCCCTATCGGAGGGCCGCTCGCTGGAGCCTGGTTGCCACGTGGAGCGCGGTGAGCGCATGGCGCTTTCGGATTTGTCGGCGTCCGCGTGTGCTTTGCTTGCTTGATCGCAGCCTGCTGCTCCATCATGGCTTGCATCTGGCATGGACGCACGTGATGACTTCGTGACGAGCGCCTGGCGCCATACACCCCCAAGTATTATTATGGGGGGCTGAGGCGCCGCCGAGTCCCCCATAATGAAGTTGTAAAATGCTGCGCGTGCCTTCTATCGTTCTGCAATTTTTTTTGATTTAGTGTTTTTCGATGATGCTGAGCAATTCTCTAATTTAAACCATGCCCTTGAATACAGTATTAAAAAAGTTAATTACGCAAAAATAATTAACAATCTAATTTTCCCGGACTAAAAATTTTCCTAAATAGGCCCCTGGCCGGACCAAAACAACACAAAACTTCCTTTTTTTTTTTTTTTTTTTCGCGACGCGTAGTTTTTGCATTATCGAATTTTTTCATATTTCGTGAAACACCCTGTATATATCATGAAGTAAAATTCCGGGGGGTCTAACCCCCCCCTCCCCCCCCCCCCCCCCCCCCCGCCCCCCAGGCTACGCGCCTGCCGGACCAGGAGGATCTTTTCAGCCGTGCACCCGTCATGCAGCTGTGTTTGGCCTTTGTCGCCCGCTTCTCCAGGGATTATTACCATTATTCTTTTCCGCCTCGCTTGCACCTTTGCATTATCATCATAACCTTCATTAATGCAGGCAGGGACGGCGCCAGGCTTTTCATAGTGAGGGGGCAGTGGGGAGGCGCACGGCAGTTTTGGGGAGGCATGGGCCTTCGGTCAGACTAAAAGAACAAATATTGAGGGACGATGACTTGGCGCTTCGGGAGGTTTTAAGAGAAATCAGCTCAGTTTATTTCATTATTTTACAACCTATCTACAACTCTGGTTAATGTAGAATTTCACGTGCAAAATATTCAGGCATGTTTACATTTCGCAATACTAAATAAGCACGCTCACGGTTGTCGTGACTCATCATCTGCTCTTTAGGCAGTCCCCTGCACCTCGGAAAACCGGAGCACGTCAGCGATCATGTAGATGTAGTGACGATTCTCCCTTCTCTGCTAAATACGCCTGACAGAGGTACACGGCGACTGATTTAGCCGTGCTACTGTTCTTCATCTGCTTGAAGGAAGCCGATGATGTTTGGGACACCTTGCGTGCCGCACTGTTGGACGTCGTAGTCTGCCTTCCTTTTGAAGAACTTTCTTCTAGTTTCGACAGCCCTCTGTCAAAAAAGAGCAACTCCACTGTTTTACTTTCCTCCTCTCCCTCCCTCCCTCCCTCCCTCCCCCCCCCCCCCCCCCCCCCCCCCCCCAAATACACAAACACTGTCAGCTTTCCTCCAACCTCCTGGGATAGTCCCTCGAAGGGACTCCGTGCCCCAGGGTCACTAATAATGGGAGCTTGGCAGTTCTCGAACCGCCAGGCTCCGACCTATACCCTTTCCCGAGCACACACAGTCGCCCTCATCAAAGTTGCTTCAAGGACCCCATTGAGACTTGAAATAAGCAGGATGACCTAGACACATCAAAGCCGCCCCTTGGGAACTCACCTGTCGGCCCAAGCGTCTCAGGACTTTGGGAAATTTCCTCGGTCAGGGCATGAACAGTGTCCTTGAGTTCCTTTGTCGGGCAGGTACGAAGCGACGGCGCAGTGCAGATGGGATTCCAAGTCTCTCCGAGTAATCACTTGGGTGAAGCTACTTTCAGGAAGTCTTTTATGGTTGGCGACAGAGGAATTGAGTGGTAGACGACGCTCCTTAGCTTCGGCAAGCCATACCGATATTCATGCATCGTTTTCACGGGGTACGTAAAGCATATAAAGCGGACGGCATGAAAAAGTTGAAAACGTCCGGTATGAGGCCTCTTTAGGCTGGCTATCCTTCAAGCCAATGCCTTTTCCATGGGGCGAGGAAATTAGGAAAATGACCAGTCATCTAGTGTGCGCCGGTCTGCGTACGAAACTTAGAAAAAGGGGGGGGGGGGGGTGTAAAGGCTGGCATATTTTTGGGGTGGCAGGACAAATTTTAGGGGAGGCGCGCCCGCCACCCGTCGCCTCCCTTTGGCGCCGTCCCTGAATGCAGGCCGTTCACCCTTGTTGGTGTTAGACTGGTGGCGGCTGTTAAACTCCGTTTGCTCTACTGACGCCTAACTCCTTGTTAGCTCAGTTGGTAAAGCCAGGACCAACTTGAATATTTAAGTTGGTCCTGGGTAAAGCGCTCCACTGGAAATGGAGAGGTCCTTGGTTTCGATACAAAGACCAGGTGGAGTTTTTCAGCTGCGCAGCAGTCTAGCTCTGTTTGAAGATTTGTGTTTGTCCTTTGTCCCTCTTGGTCCCCTTGTCCAGGGAATATTATCGTTATGCTGGTGTATGTCGACTTTTCCTTAAAACGTTGACCTTGGGTGGCTCCCCCCCCCCCCTCTCCCTAATCCATCCATGGTAAGACCAAATAAGGAAATGGAACCGCGACGTTCGGGCAGTTCTGGGCCCTCAGGCGGTACGGTTCACCAGAACTTCACGAACGTTGAGAACGGCCGGTTTGTCGTCTGCTATCGGGACCGGGCGCGTGCCCCTTTTCCTCTTTTATTGCTCCGAATCAGTTGAGAAGCCCGGATGTAAGTAGGTGGCGCTGCAGTCTAGCAAAATGTTGCCGCCCACTGCCAGCAGTGTTGTTAACTTAGCGAGAAAGTCGCTAAATTTAGAGTGTTTTCAGTCGTCCTAACGACTGGGACCGGACATTTCATCGAACGCCGTTTCGTCGAACGACGTTTCATCGAAGCCGTTTCATCGAATGCCGTTTCATCGAACGGCGTTTCATCTAACGCCGTTTCATCGAAGCCGTTTCATCGAACACCGTTTTATCGAACGCCGTCTTATCAAACGCCAGGGTGGCATTCCCGCTTCCTGAAGCTGGTCGGAGGTGCCAATCCCAGATTCTGGAAGTTTTTGACTTGCGTCGCCACAGAACATCAGCTGACGGAAGACAAGCTGGAGGCGATGCTGAGTTCACAAGAGCCTCCTCGCCAGAAGATGGCCATAGCGGCAAGGAATGAGAAGATCTGCATTTTTTATGAGAACCCACCGACCATGGCTGTGGGGGACTCTTTGAGAGCTCATCGTTTGAAACGGTGAATGGCTGTCGCACGAACACATGGAACCCCCTAAAGTTTTCAAATAAAATTTAAAGTGACGTACTTACTTTTGACTTCATTGAGTCTTAGAACAAAATAAAAAAAAAAAAATGTTTCGTTGTAGTTTTATAAATAGCACCTCAGCTTTAGCTACTGCAAGCTTCGGGCAGTAAAAAAGTATCAATAGAAAGACATGAGAGGCTAGGAGGCTCACATGGCTAAAGTTGTTGCGCCTGCGCAAAACCTGAGTCGCCTTCTGGCCTCCATGAGTCTTACCGGGAGTGCGACTTTTTGTTTATTTGTTACAATACCCTCAAGGCCCCTCGGGTAATACAGAGGGGGTGAACAGATAAGCACAATGCGCGAAACAAACATAAAGATCGGTACCAATATCCTCAAGGGTTACTTGCATCAAAATAATTGTAACAGCTACAAGTTTGGACATTAAAAAACCTGACGATGAAATGGGTGAATGACACGGAAATGCACTCGATCCGTGCATAAAAGAACATCTTTCACACTTTTTATTTAAAAGACATTCGATGAAACGGCCGTCAGCGATTCAATGAAACGGCGTTCGATGAAACGGCGTTCGATGAAACGTCCATTTTTTCGATGAAACGGCGTTCGACGAAACGGTGTTCGATGAAATGTCCGGGAACCCCTAACAACAGTGTTGTGGTTTTGGAGTCTTAGCGACTTTTGGGGTAACTTTTTTTTTTTCAGTTGTGTAAATTGTTAAGCTACGTGGACCGGGGGAAGGGGGGGGGGGGGGGAGGATGTGTCAGTCGGATAGCTTTGGATGTCACTCATTTTTATTCATCCTGTTGTGTGAGGTGTTGTTGGTTGACGCCGGTTAACGCGAAAAACGAATGTATTCTTTGATCCCGAACCACTTTAGAACTACTCCATTTTTCAGAGATTATCAGGTGTTTAAAATCATCCTTTGTAACCTTCGCAAAAAAAAAAAAAAAAAAAACGCGTGTAAGCGAGTTTTGTTTGATAAGGATGAAGCAGAAGAGTCTTCCGCAGTTTTGTTCATGGACCAGGATCTTCTCACCAACGCTTTGAGTCACTCAAGGTGTTGGTGAGCCCCTTGAGAATGGGACGGTCGACTCCGACTATTCACTTCTCTCGTCACCACAAAAAATAATTAAAAATAATGTAAAAAAAGAGAAAACTTTGTCTTTTACAAAAAAGAAAGAAGGTCATCATCATCATCACTATTAATCGACTTTTCGCTAAAACTGGCGACTTTTAGGCCGCGTCCTGGCGACTTCGCCCAAAAAAAGTTAACAGCACCGCCGCCCAGTTTATTAATTTTAGCCATATTGAATCATTTTCATGGGTAATGTTGCCGGAACTACGGCGTGGAAGAGGGTTTGGAAGCGTGCACGACGTAGACGTCGAACTCCGCGCTGAATCCTTCCGGCCCTCTCTCGCAGCGCCTGAGCATCTCGGCAGACATGGCGCTGTACAGCTCCTGCTTCTCCTCGGCGGCAGCGTCGCCCGCGACGGGTAACACAGACGACAGGGAACCTAAACAAAAACAAAGTGGATTAAAAAAAAAAAATTCCGAGGACACACAAGCATTTTTTAAAGGGGCCCTGCAACGACTTTTTGACTGTTTTTTAATTTGCACCGAACGTGAGCGCACTGAACGTGCTAACTTAATTAAACTTTTATTTTCTCGAATTTCGCTTTACTTTAAAAGTTACAGGTAAATTAAAATTACAGAAACAAGCAAAAAAATAACCTCCTTCAAGACGTCCTTGGCCCTGGCTTGAGCGGCCGTGACCTAGAGGAGGGGTAGTGAGCACAGCGAGCGCTCACGGCTGCCGCACTCCGTTTCGACGACTCGAGAAGGCGCCACTAAGGCATGTGATGGATAGGCTGGATGAAGCGGGCGGCCAGGGCGGCTCCCATTGCATTTGCTGCGCCCTTAAACACTAATTCGGCATGACACTTCCTTGGCCATTAACGACAGCAAGCACGAGGTAAAGATCAGTTGAAAACGGGAGCCACTTCGCGCTGCCATACCGCCAAACGGCCAAACCGCAAGCCAAACCTCCTCGCCGAAGGCCTTCGGAACGCTCGGAACCGGTGCCCGTATTACCACCGCAGCGCCCCCGCGTACATGCGAGACATTTCTACGCTCGCCGCTCGTCGGCGCCTGATCCCACTACTTTTTCCTAGTATGCGCCGCCTTTTCCACCGCTTGGTGGCGGGTATGTCGACGGGTCATTTCTTCTTTCCGTACTTTATAAACTGCATTTGTTTCCTCTCTAATCTAAAATATTGAAGAAAAAGAAAAGCTACTTTCATAAATAATTGAAACGGTTCGCGCCACTTACATTTTGTATATCGCGACTAAAAAAAGCTTTTAGCGGCTCTGACCAAAAGCAAGGCCAGGACCAAAAACGTCACGATGTCGTCACATATTGCGCGCTTTCGGCACCGCGGGTCGCCCCCGCAGGTGGAAAAGGTTTCCGCGTAGTCCGGTTAAAATATGACTCACTGATTTTTAGTTACTCCTTCCGCTCCCGCTGGCTTGCCCGAACCCCAGGAGACGTGGAAACCGCAAAGAAGGTAGACGCTTAAGTGTGATTGCCGGGCCCCTTTAACAGTTGTGAATGCGAAAGCATGACTGTCGTTCTTCCGCTCCCTTAGTTCGTATGCGGCCTACTGGCGTGGACGGCCACGTTTCGCTACTGCCGAGGTAGCAGCCGACGGCCGAGCACGAGCTCTCGTAAAGTGGCCGCGCCGCGCTGAGCTCGGCCGTGCAGCCACCCCGGAGTTTGCCCGTGCGGGCTCTGCGGTCAGCCGCTCCCTATTACCGACGGCTGGACAGCTGCCTGTGCTGCGCCGCTATAGAGAGTACTTTTCTGATGCTGTTCCTGGAATTACACCGCGCGCCAACCAATGGGACCCCATCCATCAAATCGCTGCTGCAGACGACAGGCTTCGTCTGCAGCGCTCCATTGGGGCAGGGGAGTTTAGGTATCGTTTGGCGCGGCTTCAAAAGCCAATGACGTCGGTTCGCCCCATGGAACAGTTAATGCTTTCGCATTAATTGTGAAATGTGTGTTTTACCCAGACTCTTCAAAAAAAGGAGGAAGGGAGAGGGAGCTCCGGGGGAATTTTATTGGTCACCGATTTGTCTTAAATGGATACTTCAACGAAATTTAAAATATTCCCGTCGTGTTCAAAAATAGGTTGAATATGATCCACAATATTCGTAAATGACAATCGCACGTTTGTGTCTTGAGCCTGGTGGCTGGATTTTTCGTTATAAACGGCCCACTCTGGCAAGCGCTCGGAGAAGGCCCAGCGGAGACCGCGTGACATCCAACGCAATCGTGACGTAGGTCGTTCAAGGACGAGCAAAGCTACGGCGAGGCTGACGTCGAGAGGATGGCCCAGTCGTTCCAGCTACCGAAGCTAATGCTTTTGCACGAATTTTGAATGACGGGTTAATCTTCTGTAATCTTGTAGGGGGACAATAGCGACTTCTGCGACACACGAAAGGCATTCTCGGGAAGAGGGGAGTTCTTCCTGCCCCTCTTCTCTCGTCGTGGCTGGAGGCGAGACAACCTCCGTCACTAGCTGTCAAGGTTCCTAGACGGGCATTACAAGCGAGGCGTTAGCGACATCCACCAGGTGCTTTTTGCTAATCGTTTAATTTGGTTTAGAATTCCTTTTCGTGACTTTTTTAACAAGATATCGGTATGGGGGGGGTTCGATGTGATGCTGCTCATTTGAACACATCTAGACCAAAGAATAAGCGCCGAAATCTCGTTGTAGTATCCCTTTAAAGGGCTCCTAAGAAAAAAAAACAGTTTTTTAGTCAATCTAATTGGGACACGCGTTTCAAAAAAAAAAAAAAAATGAGAGCATGACGATGAGGGATTTATTCGAAATTCTGCGCGCAAAGTCCATGACGTCACGGGTCATTCCGGATTGACAATCCTTGGGCATTCGTTCTTTCGACCTCAACGTGAAAGTGAAGCCGATCCACCACTCCTCCACGCGCCCGCAATTCCCTGAGAGAAAACAAGTGGAAATGGTGTGACTGCCGACTAAATCTCGTCTCGCGCCGACAATATTGCCCTAAAAAAAAGTTTTTTTCACGTAAACCAAACTTTAAAAAATAATTATTCTTATGGGCTCTTCAAAATTTATTCAAGACATCGACAGACACGGCTAGTTACCTAAATAATACGCTAAACCATTTTTTTCTCGCAAACACATTGCGTTTTTAAATCTGGTCCTGCAAAAGTGACATCGAATGGACGCTCCGAATGTTCTTTCGAGCACTTGCCCAGCAGCAAGGTGCAAAGTAGCGACGTACAGTCTCCGGCGATATGAAAGACCCACTGGGAGCGCGTGGCCGAGGCGGTGGCTGGCGGGGGCGCTGCGAGCGCTCCGAGCAGTTCCGTTCTGCTTCGATGGGAGGACGCTCACTCGGGGCTCAGCTAAAGCGCGCGCTTATCAGTTTGTGCTGAGCCCCGAGTGAGCGTCCTCTCCTCGAAGCAGAATGGAATTGCCCGGAGCGCCCCCGCAGCCACCGCCTCGGCCACGCGCTCCCAGTGGGTCTTTCATGTCGCCGGAGACTGTACTCTCCTAGGGAGGCACCCTATACTCTGCTTTTTAGGCTGTCTGCTCAAACTGCAAGTCATCCAGTTTGTGACGTCACCCTACTGGAAAGCGTGAAGAAATTTGAATACTGGCTTTTACATCACATACATACTTTTTTTTTTCAATAGCCACTTAGAATTTAGGAACGCTAAATAACATGACGGAAAGAGTACAACCCGGGTATGCAGAAAGTGTAGTAAGTTTGGGTCTCTAAAAAATCTTAATGCCGCCGGACTGCATCTCCGCATTGGGCCCAGCGTGCCTCATACTGTGCCGCTACGCGCTGGGAAGCTCACGCAGAGCACCAATAAAGCGCTCAGGTAAATTATCCAACGTGTGGCCGAACCTCCGAAGGCCAGTGTCCTTTTTGCACCCAACCCAGCACACATGTTGCCACGTGCATAAACAGGATGTTTTCACGTTTTTCGAATGTCTTGTTCAGTGAACATTATTAGACAACACGTCTTTTTTTTTTTTTTTTGGGGGGGGGGGGGGGGGAGGGAGGGGGGGGGGGGAATCGCCCAAAGCACACTGTATATCAGCAATGTAAATTGTTTTCGGGAAGGGGGGCGGGCGGCTAGTTTACCATATCAGGACCCCCCCCCCCCCTTTTCCATCCTTCACAGATGGCTGCGCCACTGCTGTCTATTAACGATGTCCTCACACGTCTTGCACACATTGCACACGATGGCAAAACACACAACATGCGAAAAGCAAAGATAATTGAAAGAAATCTAAAACGAAACTTACGTCTAGGTACCAAGCACGAAAAAAATCGTACTCATTGCGTGACTTTTTTTTTTTTTAATTTGGGCAAATATTTGTTTTAAAGGTTCTCCTTTTTTATTTTATTTTCCGGATTACTGAAATAAGCTCGACGCGTTGTTTAGGTGAAACAGGCACGTAGACTGGTTTTATTGTGCCGTGGGGAGCAAATATCAAAAATAGCAAACACAATAAATCGCCAATTAATAAAAATATATTGATTGATTAATCTGTAAAAAGGTAAACAAAATAACAACAAAACAAAAACATTTTTTTTTTAATTATTTTGCGTTGCTTACACAGTAAAACAACCTATTGTGTTTGTGTTTTCCTAAGTAAAAATAAATTCATGCAACGATAAAAAAAATAAAAAAAAACTGCTAATTTGATTATGGCCGTAGTGCATACGTCTTGCCCCAAAAAGATGCAAACTTGATTAACCGTTATTTTGACTACGCGGAGGCTGAGCCCGATCTGAAAGTCCATGAATCCGAATCCGAACCTTACCGACGAAACTTCCCATTCAACACCCATGTTAGACATCCTTAGCGATACGGAACCCGTTACTGAAAACGTGCAATAACTTTACGTTGGTGTAAATTATTATAGGACACAAGAGCTATCCTGCTACTTGTCCACATATTTCAATTGGGGTGCATTTCGAAACATCCCATTCGAAGAAGCTTTTTCAGGGATATGCGGTGTCCAAGCCATCGACACCTCAAAGTGTCTCCATTTGAATTTTTTTTTTTTTCTCGGAGGAAGAAACACGAAAGATGTAACGAGAACGGACAAAATGCGCCGACCTCAATCGAAAAGCACGTTTTGAGATGATTCAAAGAGTTCAAACGAGAAGGTCGAGACAAGAACAGGCTCGAATGAAAACCGTCCTTCATATGATATGGTTCGATCATGTTAGCTCAGCGGAATTACCTGCGTCTTTTCACATATCGCGTTAGCACATAAACAAACTCGTTATTCGCAAAAAAAAAAAAAAAAATAAATAAAAAAAGCTTTTTATGATTACGGTTTTTGCAGGATCTCCGCAGAGCCGTCCTACGGGCGGCTCTGCAGGGAAGCCAGGAATTGATTACTGTGTGAAGTGTGGTTATGGTAAAAAGGGTATATGCTTACTTGTCAGATGCTCTTCTGATGGAAAGGTCCACACGTTGCGACGCACCTCACAAGTGTGCTGTTTCAAATTCGCGTCGTAAATTAGTTTCTCTAAGTAAAAGCGCAGATCTTCCTCGTCCTGACTTGGAGGGATGTAGTCTTCTATATTCTGTAAAATGATATACAGGCGATAACACGATATCATTTCATAGTAACAAAGAGTGTTTATGGTATAAATTTCATGCAAAAAAAAAGCGTTATGCGGAAATGTGACGAGAAAACGTTACACACAGCTGGGCCAAGAAAACTTAAACCATGCACAACCCATAGCAGGCAATACTTTAGCATCTAAAGTATATAGAAGGCATACTTAGTCTTAATTTATCATGTGCAATGCGATCAGGCGCAATTAATCACAATAAGCGAGACTTTTCAAGCGGAAATTTAAGCCCGGACCGTGCGATCCGCAGCCCGACGCCTTTGCTCGGCACGAGTAGGAGGTGAAGGTAAGCGCAAGCAGCTACCGATTACTCATGGAAGCCTGTGGTAGCAGGAGACCTGGGCGCTAGTAGGAGCAAGCGCAGCAGGCTCCCGAATGACCAAGCGTAAGTAACGACTTCGCACAGCAGCCAATAAATAGCGTAGCAGCCTCCCTTCTCGCGATTGCATCACTTACCGCAGGGGGCTGTTCGCATTTCACGAGCATGAATGACTCAAGGAGCTAAAGGTATCGTCGGAAGAAGGAAAACTCATGCAAACGCCTAATTAAGGCATACTCCTCACACAATCCTTTATAAATTTAGACTTGTCTTGACCATTCGATAAACTCGCGGAGCACATGAGTATATATTTGTCACTTACGCAACACATTAGAAACTGTGCACACAGCTCCCCATAAGCAAGCAGGCATAACAAACCATAATGCAATCATAACGCACGCCTGGCACTTGCCTCCCCCCCCCTCCCCCCCCCCCCCCGAAATTCTCCATTTTACTGGGGCCTCCTCTCCCCCCAACTCTCATACAAAATTTTGTCATGGGCGCCCCCCCCCCCTTCCCCAATAAAAATCCTGGCTACGTGCTCCCTTTATTGATAAGAGGCACGACAAATTTCGTGCTCCCCTTATTGATAAGAATTATCAATACATTTCTGCAATTTATTAAACTCGTTGGTTGCGTGGCAGGCCTCCCTGCAAACTGTAATCTGTCCAAGGCATCGTGACGACATCGTGCAGATATTGCAGAAATCTTGCTTACCGTGATATGCGACCGCCAGCGATCCATGCGTGCGAACTCACGCCACAGTGCGTAAACCGGGGTCCGGGCACAGAACTGCAGCAGACATTCGCCATCTGGAGCCAGCAGGCGGGCAATATTCGCGAACGCCGTTCGTTGGTCCTTGATCCAATGAAGACAGTAGAACGAGTAAACACGGTCGAACGTTCCGTGAGTCTGCAAGAACCGCGACACATCGTGCGCTATGTTCAGTGTCTCGTAAGTGATGTGTGAATGGTCGAAATGGCGTCTGGCGTAGTCGATCATGGTTGCTGAAGCATCCGTGCCAACCAGTCTTCGACAGGGGAAGCATCGAGGCATCAAGACTTCGCGCGTGAAGTCACCGATGGCGCAACCGATGTCCAGAAACTGCTGGTATTCGCCTGGTGGTCTTCTGAAGGCTGTGTTGAGTAGATCAAGTACATGGATGTTGTCTCGTCTTTGTAAAGCGTTAGCGGCAACGTAAAGCTCTGGCTCCAGTCTGGGTCCCGTTGAAAAAACACCGGAGTTGCTGGAATCGCGAATTAGCTGCGACCTTGAAGAACCATTGATGGCTTGCTGAAGTTGCTTGAGTTGACTCGCCACTCGATTTGATCGAAAACCACGCAACATCTTGGCGGAAACCTGACGCAATCCTTGCGATGTGACCCTTTGAAAGGGATACAAAGAGGACACTTCTAATGCCTTTCGCGTATGTTGCAACCAGCAGTGGATGGCGCTGATTTTGGAAGACGCTGGTGGACGTTCCCTGCTAGAAAAAATAGTGTGCTTACAGGAAAAGTTGTTTTAAGAACGTGGCAGGAAAGGAAAGTTGCAAAAAGTAAAAATAGACAAGGATCAGAGCATCACGGCAGCCAGTAGTATATCAACGTCTGCTACGGTTATTTTTGCGTCTGACAAGGAAAAGAAAGCGATGAGCGTGAACGCGTAAGATATACGGCCCTTTCATTTGTTAAATTCTGGTCATCAATTTCCTGTGTAGCTATTGTAATCGTGCATATAGTGTATACACTAAGAATTTTACACTCTTGGTGTAGAGGTGGTGCTCCAGAGACTTACACCCATGAATCCCTTCCTTTCAGCACCCTTTTTAAAACTGAAATAGGGTTGCTGTTGCATGAAACACTTTTCTTGAAAGGTGTAGAAAAGGGTGCTGCGGTGCAATGCTTCAAACATCCTTCAGTTTTGAAGGGTGTTCATTGCACTTAAACTCGCTTTAAACAGCTTTAGTTCAGGTTGTCTTAGTAGTTATGTCAAATAATAATTGCTTGTACCAATGCTTTTTCACCGCCAACACTTTCTCTCCCCGTGTTCCCAGTGAAGATGGTTAGTGGAGAGCTCGTTGGTGCAGGTGCTGCCATGTAGCTCTGGCTCGTGGCGGCACGTGCCACTGTCATTGTCTGTGCTCCCTGTGATCTCAGTCAAGGTGGTGACAGAGATTTTGGGAGGACTCTCTACCGCCAGGTTCTGACACGTAGCTCTGGCTCGGGAAGAGGAAGGGGGGAAAGGAAAGGGGGGGGGGGGGGGGGTTGACGCCGTAGTTACTGCCAAAGTTTGTCATCCCTGTCGAAACGGTGACTGGAATCCGGAGAGGGTTCGCCGCCGCAGCCGGTCGGTTCAGGTTCCGCACGTTCTGTCGTAGTCCTTCCTGGGAATTCGTTCTCCTCATGTTGAGCTTCCAGCAGGAGAAATCCACCGCTGTTGTGTTACATGCCACCACAACAGTCAATCCACAGTAGGCAATGGTTACGCGATCATGTGAGATGTTAGAACATTGTCGGGGACATAGAGGCCGGTCAAAGAGAGAAGCATCTGGCACATCTGCCCGATGTGCCAGATGACCCTTCGGTTGCGAGCCAGTCACGCTACTGATAAAATCCCTGGAATACTGCTCCTGCTCAGGCCAAGCAAGGCACGCTTGCACAGCGAACGAGAAGGCGATGCGAACGGGGCCCGATAACGCTATCGCGTTCCACTCTTAAAAAACCCCTAAAACGAGATTTTTTTTTTTTAATTTTAACAGTCTGGTCGAGGACACGCGTGTCAAAAAATAAATTTTATGCGAAAAAAAAGTTTTAGAGCAATATTGACGGTGAGAAATTTATTTGAAATTCTGTACACGAAGTTCGTGACGTCATGAGTCATTCCTGAATGACCATCTCGGTTGTGTAGGCGAAGCCGCCTCTCCTCCGCGAGCCCGAAATGCCGAGAGAGAAAACAAGTGGAAAGGGAGGTGGCTTCCGACTAAATCGCGTTTGGCGCCGTCAATATTGCTTTAAAAAATTTAAAAAAAAAAAAAAAACTTCGTGTAAAATTAATTTGTGAACACGTGTGTCTGAACCAGACTGTTAAAAAAAAAACCTTTTTTTTTCAGGGGCCCTTTAAAGGCAAAGCTTAAGCGTCTTCCAAATCTTTAGATGACAGTCATAAAATATCAATAAGCAGTAATTACAAAATTTTAACGCGTATAGTTTTTATTCCACGGCTGTACAAAGTTCCTTTGCATTGAATCCTATAGGTCACATTCACAAAATTATTGCTCCTTTTCTTCACAAAAAGATCGCAATGTTCCCGGGTACTGTAATTGCCTGTGTACTATAAGACGCAAATCAATTGTAATTTTGATATTTCCTTGCAAACTTTTTATTCACCGGACGTTTCCTTCATTGACCTGAATCGAACCGTCGTAAAGTCATAACAACCGCATTCCCAAAGGCATTGTGGGAAAGCGACTTTGAATTTGTTAAACTTTTTGTGAGTTATGGGAAGTATTATTTTATTGCTTTATAAATTAAGAAGCGTTGAAACGTTAGCACGTTAATTAAAAAAACAAAAAGCGTTTTTTTTTTTTTAGTAAAGCGTGATTATGTTTAAGCACATCCATTCAAAAAGCTATCCCGCACGGATTTTGAATAACGTATCCGAAGAAATGTTCTCAGATAAGAACATATCGAAGATAAATAACGAGGTAATAAATTATTATGTATATATTCACCTTTAAATATATGTTACTTGTCGCCCTAGATAAAATTATGGTCTCATGTCCCCAACTTTTTTTTTTACCATTACCGCTTTGTGGCCTTCTCTACACGCGCCTCTGCTGGGTTCACTAAAAGGGAAACTAAACAGCAGGAGTCGTAATGTTCTCCGGGGATATTTTTGATGAAAGTTATAAAATATCTATGAGAAGTAATTAAACGTTTGGATACGTGCATTTTTTATTCAAAGGCTCTACAGAGTTTCTTTGCATTGAATCATATGTGCCATATTCACCGAAACGACCAATTTCCGATATACTTTGCAAAAGACCGTCATGTTCCCGAGGACCGTAATTTTCTGCGTATCAGATAACGCAAATCAATTAGAAATTTGAAATTTCCTTGAAAACATTTTATTCCACGAACCTTTCTTTTACAGAACTTAGTAGGTGGGCTTAAGGGTTATTCACACGAGGGAGAAATCCCGGGGATTTCTCCCCGCCACGCGCGCATCACGAGATGAAAACGCCAGGCTTTTGTACATCGCAAAGCCTGACGTTTTCGTCGTGGGATGCGCGTGCCGGGGAGAAATCCCCGGGATTTCTCCCTCGTGTGAATACCCCTTTAAAGGCACCACGACCACGTGCCAGTGAGCATTGCGGAAAAGCGACTTCCAATTTGTTAAACGCATTTTGTTTTATTCCGGTAAATGTTACCACCTTTCATTAAACTTTTAACCCCGTTAAAAACACTTCCACGCAATAAACGAAAAAATATTTTGTAGGATAATAAAGCTATAGTCCTTCTTTGCACATCAATTAAATGAGTCATCTTTCTCGTATTTGGATTAACGTGTCTGTAATAAGACTCCAATGTAAGAATATAAACATGCATGTGGTGGGTCAACGCACGTACGTAGCCAGGGATTTGATTCGGGGGGAGGGGGGGGGGGGGCACCCATGACAAAATGCTTTATGAGGGGTAGGGGGGAGAAGAGGCCCCAGCAAAAGAAAAGATTCCAAGAGGGGGGGACCCCCCCCCCCCCCCCCCCCCCCTCTCTGGAAAAGTGCTTGCGGTGGGTGTATCTGGATGAGACAGATTTTGAGAGCTTGGTGGAGGCGGAGGAGGGTAGGCTGGTTTGCCGAATCTGCACGACGGTTGCGGGTGGTACTGGAGACTCGGGTGTTAGCTAAGAGGGAGGAACTCAAGGTAGATTTTCAGGAGCTCATCATTGAATGGGAAAGAAAGGTGGAGCGCATGGCAAGCGAGCTTAGTGAGATGAGGAGTGGGAGAAGCGGGAGAAGCTTGCTGCTTGAGAGACAGGTAAAGGAGCTCAAGAAGGGGGAAGTGTAGAAGGCTTGGATGGGACAACGTAAGAGGGAGCGTGAGGCTGGGTTGGAGTATAGTCGGTTGCAAGTTAAAGGACCCATGAAACGAATTTTGGGCTGGAGTAGTCAATTTATATTGGGATTTTACTAATAGCACATCGTTCAGTGGACCAAAAGAACAAAGGTAGAAAGTCAGAAGCCTGACTTTCGCTACGAAAATTTGCAAAACATAGCGCACTATTTCGTACCTCCTTCCCTTCGTAAGCTCTCCGCCTTTTCACTGTGATACATCCGCAGACCCCGCAGCGCGTCACCGGGCTACTAGCCACCATAACCGGGCCCCCGCAGCGCGTCACCACGCCCAAGCGCACGTCACACGACACCGGACCTCACTTAATCCCTTTACCCTTAAGCTGACATTGCGGTGGAAGCTACGCGCTTTCCGGACCAATCAGCCGCCTCCCTTTCATCACCTGACCTCATCCTCCGCGGTTCGGTATGCGCGAGAGAGCGGGATCACGTGAAAAATGTGTGGCTGGCCCGACGAGCACGTAGCTTCCACAGCATAGTCAGCTTCGGGGTGAACGGGGTAAGGAAAACAACCAGTCGGAATTTTGGGCGACGGGCTAATCTTCAAGGTGGACAATGGCTGTGTCCGGCTACACAAGCGAAATTCCGAGCAAGAGGGGACTCCCCCCTTTCCGTCTTCTTGAACTGTTTGGTACAATGCGCGATTTATGAGTTGAGGAGGAAAGCTAAACAGGAAAAAGTTGGAAAAGCGTTTCATGACTCCTTTAAGAAGGTAGAAGCTCCTCCCACAAGCGTGATGCGCCGGTTCCAAATCTCTCCGCAGTTGAAAGAAGAGTTCACTGGAAACGCTCACTTGTTCCGCTTCAATGGATAGATATTTAGCTAGTGATGCCAAATTGTCTCCGATCCCACTTTTTAAGAAAGCGACCTTTGTATTCATCGGAGGGGGAACCGAGCCCCTGAAAGCAGCCTTTGTATCCATCAGAGGGGGAACCTGATCCCCGAAAATCGTATTTGTTTCCATCGGAGGGGGAAAACTCTAATCTCCCTCTCGTGGCTTCAACAATGCTAAGTCAAAGTCGAAAGATAAAGCAAATATGTGCAGAAAGGCAAGACCCTCCTCGCTCGTTGGCCGCGACGTCACGGAAACGATGGGACGCTATTGGATGCGGAGGTGGCGGAGGGATATATAATTCCCTTTGAGGTGCATTTGCAGCTACCTTCTTGAGGGGGGAGGCGACAGCTAACTTAGCAGGAACGGCAGTCTCAGAGGAAGGAAGCACTAGTGAATAGGGGAAAGCCAGCGGGGCGGGAGTGGCTCCTAGACCCTACAGGGCCGTAGTCGCACAGGTTGCCAACGGGGCAGTAAAGGACGCGTTGGTAAACCGACAGACACAAAGATAGGTATAGTACAGATAGCTGGAGGGAGTGAACACCGGCAGTCGAAGACTAGGAGGGTACTGGTGGTAGGACATTCGAACGTAAACTGGAGTAAGAACTCTGGGGTAACATGGAGGGAGATAACCTAGTAGTAGTGCATGCGGGACTCGTTGAAAAGGAGGAGCCAGAACCTCGGCAGGCACATATAGGTTGGGGTGCGTCATCTGAACCGACTGCTCAATCTTGTCAACAGTGTTTTTGAGGTATAGGAGAGTACTCAGTTTTGCGTTTATGCCCGTCAGTATGCTCGCAAAGTCGGTGTCTTGACTTTGTTTACACGATGAACCGCTCCGATTTCTTGCTTTTACACAAGTGGGACATCGCCAGTCCTTGCGCAACTTCTCGTTTTTGCTTTCGTCACTCCCGAGCGTTCTCCTAAGTGATACAAGAATTCACATTCGGTGCATGTTATATTCGACACATCTTCCTCTAGTTTTTTCTTACATGTTAAGCAACTCTAACCTGCTTTCCTTGCCCCACTGTACTAAACACACGCACCCGTGTGCTTCCGACAGGGCTGCGGACGGAACGGACTATCTGGGCATAGTCTATCAGTGTTTGGTGTAAATCTACGCGCTTTTGGCTTTACGATGCTAGTAGACTGAGTTTTCTGCGCTGTTGTGGCACGCGGACGCGTAGCTTCAGAACCTGCTTTCCTTGCCCCACTGTACTAAACACACGAACCCATGTGCTTCCGACAGGGCTGCGGACGGAACGGACTATCTGGGCATACTCTATCAGTGTTTGGTGTAAACCTACGCGCTTTTGGCTTTACGATGCTAGTAGACTGAGTTTTCTGCGCCGTTGTGGCACGCGGACGCGTAGCTTCAGAACCTGCTTTCCTTGCCCCACTGTATACTAAACACACGCACCCATGTGCTTCCGACAGGGCTGCGGACGGAACGGACTATCTGGGCATAGTCTATCAGTGTTTGGTGTAAATCTACGCGCTTTTGGCTTTACGATGCTAGTAGACTGAGTTTTCTGCGCCGTTGTGGCACGCGGACGCGCATCCCCGTTAGACATTTCAACACTCACACGCATTCAATGTAAAATCAACGCGATGGCAGGAGTGGCAGCAGCAGCAGAAACAAAACGAAATTTTTTGAAAGTCAACCAACCAACCTGTAAGGGGTATGGCACGTAGATTAGCGTCCTAATGCGTACGCTGCCGCCGCTACTGCCCAAGTGCCGCAATCCGCTGCTCGCAGTCGTCTTGTATCCTGTCCGGAAGGCCAGATGTCATTGCGTAGAACGTTTTTTCGACGTTGCCTGTTCTATAAACCGTATCACTATCAGTCTTTACGTGAAAATTTCTAGACATTGCCTAACTATTACTCTTCCCGTGTGGACCAACTGGAACCACATTCCAGCAGATATCGCAACTATACCCGATTATTTTCTTCTTCGCCAATCTCTGTTTAAATCTCTGTGCGAAAAGCCAACATGAGCCATTTGCTTTTGTTCATTTTGTTTGTAGCAGATGTAGCTTTCAGTTTTTGCCAATCAGAGTGTACTTTTTAATGTTTGTATTCCTCGCCGCATATTTTTGTTTTGTCGTTTTATTTTTGTTTGTTCTACCCCTCCCCTCTACAATGCTTTGGCTCTTGAGGACATGTACAATAAATAAATAAATAAAATGCTACAGTCGCAAGACGCCATTGAATTCTTGCCTTGAACACAGCACCTAGCTACACCGTAGCAGCTCACATCTGTCTCCAGTGTGAACGGTCGGTTAGAGTTTGGGTGCTTCAAATATGCTGTCAACTATAGCCTTGGATAGGTGTCGGAACACATTTCGTGTTCCGCCACATTTTTGCGCTGACGGGTAGAAAGTTATTTTCACAAACACACACACACACACACACACACACCCACAAACTCACGTGCACACACGCACATGCACACATAAACACACCCGCACACACGAAAATATGCATATGCACCAAACGTACGCACGCTCACACAAATTTATAGGCATCCACACAGACACAAGCACGCATACAAAAATAGCATCTTTATAGTTTATCACCGGACATAAAGTATCCCCAGAACACCTTTCTTTGCAGCGTGCGAGATAGTAATAAAGTCCTTCTTTCCTATATGTACAGAAGAGGTGGAAGCCCGTCAGTGCCCAAAACAAAGTATAACTTTATAGTTTATCACCGGACATAAAGTATCCCCAGAACACCTTTCTTTGCAGCGTGCGAGATAGTAATAAAGTCCTTCTTTCCTATATGTACAGAAGAGGTGGAAGCCCGTCAGTGCCCAAAACAAAGTATAACTTTATAGTTTATCACCGGACATAAAGTATCCCCAGAACACCTTTCTTTGCAGCGTGCGAGATAGTAATAAAGTCCTTCTTTCCTATATGTACAGAAGAGGTGGAAGCCCGTCAGTGCCCAAAACAAAGTATAACTTTATAGTTTATCACCGGACATAAAGTATCCCCAGAACACCTTTCTTTGCAGCGTGCGAGATAGTAATAAAGTCCTTCTTTCCTATATGTACAGAAGAGGTGGAAGCCCGTCAGTGCCCAAAACAAAGTATAACTTTATAGTTTATCACCGGACATAAAGTATCCCCAGAACACCTTTCTTTGCAGCGTGCGAGATAGTAATAAAGTCCTTCTTTCCTATATGTACAGAAGAGGTGGAAGCCCGTCAGTGCCCAAAACAAAGTATAACTTTATAGTTTATCACCGGACATAAAGTATCCCCAGAACACCTTTCTTTGCAGCGTGCGAGATAGTAATAAAGTCCTTCTTTCCTATATGTACAGAAGAGGTGGAAGCCCGTCAGTGCCCAAAACAAAGTATAACTTTATAGTTTATCACCGGACATAAAGTATCCCCAGAACACCTTTCTTTGCAGCGTGCGAGATAGTAATAAAGTCCTTCTTTCCTATATGTACAGAAGAGGTGGAAGCCCGTCAGTGCCCAAAACAAAGTATAACTTTATAGTTTATCACCGGACATAAAGTATCCCCAGAACACCTTTCTTTGCAGCGTGCGAGATAGTAATAAAGTCCTTCTTTCCTATATGTACAGAAGAGGTGGAAGCCCGTCAGTGCCCAAAACAAAGTATAACTTTATAGTTTATCACCGGACATAAAGTATCCCCAGAACACCTTTCTTTGCAGCGTGCGAGATAGTAATAAAGTCCTTCTTTCCTATATGTACAGAAGAGGTGGAAGCCCGTCAGTGCCCAAAACAAAGTATAACTTTATAGTTTATCACCGGACATAAAGTATCCCCAGAACACCTTTCTTTGCAGCGTGCGAGATAGTAATAAAGTCCTTCTTTCCTATATGTACAGAAGAGGTGGAAGCCCGTCAGTGCCCAAAACAAAGTATAACTTTATAGTTTATCACCGGACATAAAGTATCCCCAGAACACCTTTCTTTGCAGCGTGCGAGATAGTAATAAAGTCCTTCTTTCCTATATGTACAGAAGAGGTGGAAGCCCGTCAGTGCCCAAAACAAAGTATAACTTTATAGTTTATCACCGGACATAAAGTATACCCAGAACACCTTTCTTTGCAGCGTGCGAGATAGTAATAAAGTATTTCTTTCCTATATGTACAGAAGAGGTGGAAGCCCGTCAGTGCCCAAAACAAAGTATAACTATCCTGCTAGGATGGTAGTCCGCACACGTCCTTGTGGTTCCTAAGCGCGGTGCAGTACCACTCGAGTTCGCCGAGCATCTTGTTGATTCCCCTGGCGAACTCCTCGTCGAGCAGGGTGCCGTCCTCGGAAAGCGACTTTTGTATCTTGGCATTGACGCTACTAAAGGGCAGCGTGATCATGCCGAGCTGTCCCAGGAAACTCCGCAACTGCGCCGCAGCCACCAGGCCTGCCCCGTTGCCGACGCTGTAGGCGACCACGCCGCACGGCTTGTGGCGGTACGAATCTGGAGGGAACTGGTCCATAGCGCTGGCGAGGGTGGGGGAGATGCAGCGGTTGTACTCGGGGCAGAGTACCACATAGGCGTCGGCCGCTACCACGTGCTCGTGCAGCGCTGCCAGCCACTGCGGAAGCGTCTCGTCCGGGCCGTGGAAGTGGACCGGCTTCCGCACCTGCGGGGGACATCGGTGGCCAAGGTTGTTAGCGCACTGCAGCTCGGAACACGTGGAGCAAAAGCTTGCGCAGCAGGACCCTATTGGGGAGGAGGAGCGACCGTGACGCCCCAAGCGGTTAACTTTAGAATTACACGGATGGGGACAACAAATACAGTGATTCAGCGCTCGGTCGACATATCCGAACGCGGCGTCAGCGTTCGGCTGGAGTTCGTGTTCTCCGGTGAGGGGGTGGAGGGGCTCTTTTGTTTCCACTCCGGCCTGCATGAACAATGCAGCATGCACGGTCCCAGCTCAGCACAAAAGCCGAAGTGGGTCAAGCTCGCATTCTCTGAGAATAGATCCGGTACTTAACGTCGCTTCGTCGATTGTATTTTTTTACATTAAACTGTGCCCCGCGCTCTATTAGCCACGAGAGCGAACACAAGCGTCGCTGCGGTCGCCGCGCCCTGATTGGGGGAGGTGTACCGTGACGTCAGGGGGAGGACTCCGCTCCGCGATCTCGCATCGGCTCGCTTCCCAACACCGGTTTCCTGGTTTGGCGTTGTGTGCCGCAAGCTGTTCGAGGAGCTGGACTTCGTTTACCCGGTGTACAAGACGTTGAGTTAGGCCGATATTGACGTACCTCCGTACATTTTATAAGCCTGTTTGTCCCTTTTACTATTAAAATTAGGTTACAAATCCTGAAAGCTATCGGCGGAGGCAATTCCGCCGATGAACCTCCCCGTCCGTCCACACGACACAAGGCAATCTTGCGAAGGGTCGGTGAAGCGGTGGCGCAAGTGTTTCAGACGCTGGAATTCTGTTCCTTGCATGTTCATGATTTAGGACGATATTACATCCCGCTTTCAAGGCATTTGAAGTGGCATTTATATCATGGGCCTTTAATCGGTCGGCAAATTAGCTCGCGACCCCGACTTTGCGCTGCCACTCATGCATGCGCTGGTTCGCAAATGTTTTAAAGGCCCTGCGTCTGATGATCTTGGAAGTGCTCGTGGAACAGGGTTGTTTTACATAAATGTAGCTTCTTCGTGAATTAATTATATAGTTTATACACGTATGCAGGCATATTTTTTAGAAGATGCACAATTACTGGAAATCAGTTTGTATGGTAGCATTCAAAGACGGCCGAATTGCCCCCAGTTGCCTGTATGATATGTATTGAACTGCCCAAAATATGTACAGCAATAGTGCCGTAATTTAGAATGTTTATACTTTTTCCTGACTTTCTTTATTCCAGTCTTGGGTATTCGAAAAATACACCGTTTAGTCTGAATTGTCATTTCCAATTAAAAGAGACACTGCCGCAGGTCCCCAAAAGCTTCCTCAGCCTCCAAACTCCCTACAGCTGGACTATCTGACAACAGAGGAAAACAACAGTAAAAGCAAGCATTCGAACGTCTGTCCAGTTGTAGATCTACAACTTGATGCATCACTAGTAGCAGAAAATGTGGAACCTGTGAAGGGCGACAGTCTGCGTGAGAAAAGCTTCTGGTATTTGAGCTTCAGGACAATTTGATTTAAGTAAAATCTCAATTTAAGGGCTTAAGGGACTATTAACGAGCTAGACACCTTCGCTTACGTTTGTTATACATTACTTGAGGGTTAATATAAACAAGTCCACAGATACCACCTGTGTAGTCCATTGAGATACGATCCAAATCCAGCAAAGGTCAAATGCGAGCAATGTATATATTAAATGTTCCTTTTTCTTTTTTACTTTGCTCCTGCACTTGGGCTGTCTTACTTGTGATTCTCTCCCCATGGCCCAGACTGTATTTAGCATGTTGCTCGAGCAGCATGCAGCTTTTCTGCTTAGGCGATCTTGTTTAAAAACAGATACAAAAAAAAATGAAAGCCGTTTACAACTCCCTGTAACGCCGAATTAGAGCGCAGCTCTTGAGGAGGAGGAGGGAAGGGTACTGGGGGGGGTGGGTCAAGTGACCTCGGGGGGCGGGAAGTCACGTGACCTTGTGGGAGTCACGTGACCTTGGGGCGTCACGTGACGTCGGGGGGTCACGTGACCTGGGGCCACGTGACGATGCCGATGACGTCATCAGTGACGTCACTGATGACGCCATCAGTGATGATGATGATGCGGATGCCGGTGACGTCATCAGTGACGTCACTGATGACGTCATCAGTGATGATGACGATGACGATGCGGGTGCCGGTGACGTCATCAGTGACGTCACTGATGACGTCATCAGTGGCTATGACGTCAACGGGGGGTCACGTGACCTCGGGGGGTATCCCCAGGTCACGTGACCCCCCCGGGGGTCACGTGACCTGGGTAGCCATCGTGACCCTCGTGAGGGTAACCCTAGTAACCCTTGTGAGGGCAACTCTCGTGACCCTCGTGAGGGTAACTCTCGTGACCCTCGTGAGGGTAACTCTCGTGACCCTCGTGAGGGTAACTCTCATAACCCTCGTAACCCTCGTGAGGGTAACCCTCGTGAAGGTAACCCTTTTGAGGGTAACTAACCCTCGTAACCCTCGTGAGGGTTACGAGGGTAAGTAACCCTCGTGGAGGGTAACCCTCGTGAAGGTAACCCTTTGGAGGGTAACTAACCCTCGTATCCCTCGTGAGGGTTACGAGGGTAAGTAACCCTCGTGAGGGTAACCCTCGTGAAGGTAACCCTTTTGAGGGTAACTAACCCTCGTAACCCTCGTGAGGGTTACGAGGGTAAATAACCCTCGTGGCCCTCGTGAGGGTTACGAGGGTAAATAACCCTCGTGGCCCTCGTGATCCTCGTGAGGGTAACCCTCATGAGATTAACCCTCGTAACCCTCGTAACCCTCACGAGGGTTACGAGAGTTGCGGTTACGCCGACGCCGACGCCGACGCCGACGCCGACGCCGCTCAAGCCGGGAACGGGCCCCTAAGAGCTGCGCTCTAAAAAAAATAGTACACATAACCTGCCAATTCTTTCAGACTATCAGCAGCATTGATTGTGCGAGATATAAATCTATTGTGAAGCTCCTGCCATTGTGGCCATATTTCTTTATTTTCATATACCAGCTGTGATTCATGCGTTGCCTGCCCTGTCAACAGTTTCGCCTGTAGCTACAGGCCACACCTCAATAAAGGCACATATGAAAATTTACACTTCCTGCGAAAAACACGCAAAAAAGATTAAATACAAACGAGCGCGCCGACAGCTAGCGTCGTCAGCCTCCAGGCCGAGCGGGGCGAGTCGGGGAAAAATTCCCTCCTCGCCGTGGCGTCACCCCGGTTTGCCGTAAGGAGGCGCCACGCGACCTTCTCGGGGCTGATTGTAGAAGATGACATGGACATGCCCATAAGGCCTGTGGGCATGTGCACAGGCCTTGTGTTGAGTAAACACCGAGGTGTGGGGAAACAAACGGGTCAGATATACGAGAAAAGAGTCAAAGTACAGGCTAGCTGGTGGAAGTCAACCATTTCGTCGTTTACCCTGAGACTGGTTTTTTTTTTAAGAGACCTGTCTGTTTTTTCTGTTACTTCTGCTCTTCACAAAAAACCCCAGTCTCAGGGTAAACGACGAAATGGGTCAGATATCTCCCCGACACGCGGAGCGGCTCTGTTTATTAACACGGCCAGAAGGCCGCGCATGCGCGGAAGCTATGTGGGCAAAAGCGGCGCGGCTCTCCGTGTTTTCGGCATTGCGTTGTGTGGCGTGCGCTCGTTCTTGACGCTAAAGCGCGAAACACATGTACGACGAAACCGTCCGATCCGACGTCCGACCGCGCAATACGACGGTCGGAGGCGAGGGTTTTCAACGCTCTCCGATGCTACGAAAACTCTCTCCCCCCAAGGTCATTCCGGCAATTTGCCCAAATTAAAAAAAAAAAAAAGTCACGCAATGAGTACGAAAAAAATCGTACTCATTGCGTGACTTTTTTTTTTTTTTAATTTGGGCACATATTTGTTTTAAAGGTTCTCCTTTTTTATTTTATTTTCCGGATTACTGAAATAAGCTCGACGCGTTGTTTAGGTGAAACAGGCACGTAGACTGGTTTTATTGTGCCGTGGGGAGCAAATATCAAAAATAGCAAACACAATAAATCGCCAATTAATAAAAATATATTGATTGATTAATCTGTAAAAAGGTAAACAAAATAACAACAAAACAAAAACATTTTTTTTTTAATTATTTTGCGTTGCTTACACAGTAAAACAACCTATTGTGTTTGTGTTTTCCTAAGTAAAAATAAATTCATGCAACGATAAAAAAAATAAAAAAAAACTGCTAATTTGATTATGGCCGTAGTGCATACGTCTTGCCCCAAAAAGATGCAAACTTGATTAACCGTTATTTTGACTACGCGGAGGCTGAGCCCGATCTGAAAGTCCATGAATCCGAATCCGAACCTTACCGACGAAACTTCCCATTCAACACCCATGTTAGACATCCTTAGCGATACGGAACCCGTTACTGAAAACGTGCAATAACTTTACGTTGGTGTAAATTATTATAGGACACAAGAGCTATCCTGCTACTTGTCCACATATTTCAATTGGGGTGCATTTCGAAACATCCCATTCGAAGAAGCTTTTTCAGGGATATGCGGTGTCCAAGCCATCGACACCTCAAAGTGTCTCCATTTGAATTTTTTTTTTTTCTCGGAGGAAGAAACACGAAAGATGTAACGAGAACGGACAAAATGCGCCGACCTCAATCGAAAAGCACGTTTTGAGATGATTCAAAGAGTTCAAACGAGAAGGTCGAGACAAGAACAGGCTCGAATGAAAACCGTCCTTCATATGATATGGTTCGATCATGTTAGCTCAGCGGAATTACCTGCGTCTTTTCACATATCGCGTTAGCACATAAACAAACTCGTTATTCGCAAAAAAAAAAAAAATAATAAATAAAAAAAGCTTTTTATGATTACGGTTTTTGCAGGATCTCCGCAGAGCCGTCCTACGGGCGGCTCTGCAGGGAAGCCAGGAATTGATTACTGTGTGAAGTGTGGTTATGGTAAAAAGGGTATATGCTTACTTGTCAGATGCTCTTCTGATGGAAAGGTCCACACGTTGCGACGCACCTCACAAGTGTGCTGTTTCAAATTCGCGTCGTAAATTAGTTTCTCTAAGTAAAAGCGCAGATCTTCCT